GCAGAGCGCCTACACTACGTCATTTTGACCCTACAAAGGAGGTTATTTTAGAATGCGACTCCTCAGACTACGTGTCTGCTGCTATTCTCTCCCAGTATTACGATGGAGTGTTATACCCAGTTGCTTTCATGTCAAGAGTCTTTGATCCAGCTGAGTGTAACTATGAGATCTATGATAAGGAGCTATTAGCTGTCGTTCGAGCCTTTGAAGCGTGGCGATCAGAACTCTCAGGAGTAGCCTACCCAATCTCGGTTATCACTGACCATTCAAATTTAAAATACTTTATGACAACGAAGCAGCTCACTCGTCGCCAAGTACGTTGGAGTGAGTTCCTTTCTCAATTTGACTTTGTTATCAAGTCAGTGCCTGGGAAAGCGATGGTGAAAGCAGACAGTAGAACCCGGCTTTCTCAAGACCTACCCTCCTCGCCTAACGACCCTCGAGTTCTATACCAGCAACAGTCACTCCTGAAGCCTCACAACTTAGACCCGGCCATTCGTATAGCACCTCTTGAGGAGGAGCTAGAGTCTAACGAGAATGGATCTCATGAATTAGAAACACCTGGAGACTCCCCTGAGCCTGAGGAAGAAGACCTAGACGAACTAGATGATCATAAACTTACTCGGCTCCTCAACGAGGGCTATCAAGAAGACCTATTTTGGATTCGGATTTCCCAGGAGATGAATAGAGCCGACCGTACACCTCACTCAAAGGAAGTAGCCCTGTCAGAATGTCGTATCACCGATGGCAAGCTCTACTTCCGGGATAGACTATATGTCCCAGACACGGAGCTAAGAGTTTGGCTTCTTCAGAAGATTCACGATTCAGTTGAGAGCGGTCACCCAGGCAAAGACAAGATGTTCGAGCTAGTGTCTAGGGACTACTGGTGGCCTAAACTTTACAAGGACATTGGGCAGTTTGTCAAAGCCTGTGAGAATTGCCTTCGGAATAAGCTCTCCCAGCTACGATATCAGGGTACTTTGAAGCCTCTCCCTATCCCAATTCAGCGGTGGAAGGACCTGTCTGTTGACTTCATGGGTCCAATTATGACAGTAGATAGTTGCGACCAGATTATGGTAGTTACTGATAGGCTTACAAAGGATTGCCACATTATCCCATGCCATTCAAAGCAGACTGCAGCTGACTTTGCTCGCTTATTTATTCGAGATATTTGGAAGCTTCATGGTTTACCGGATTCTATTATCTCTGACAGAGGCTCTCTGTTTATTGCAGCATTCTGGAAGGCGGTTTGTGACATATTACGTGTACGAGTCGACCTTTCTACTGCATATCACCCCGAAACAGACGGCCAAACTGAGATTGCAAATAAATCTATTTCCAAGTACCTCCGCCAGTACATCAACTATGCTCAACAGGATTGGGTTCAGTTCCCACCATTAGCTGAATTTGCGATAAGGAACGTGCTCAGTTCAGCTACAGGCATGTCACCCTTCTTTGCGAACAACGGATACCACCCTCGAATGAGCTTTAGCCCCCCTCGGATTCCATCTACTTCCCAGAACGCAGTTGCGGGCTTGATTTTTGCTAAGAAGATGAGGGATATCTTAGCACTCCTACATACAAACCTCATTGCCTCTAGAGACAAGATGGAGGAAGCGGCTAATACTCACCGATCACCAGCCCCAGCATACAGGGTAGGGGATATGGTTATGCTTAGTACCCGAAACATTAAGTCAACTAGGCTGATCCCTAAGTTTGACGCTAAGTATATTGGCCCCTTCCGCGTACTACAAGTCATGAACTCNCCCAGCATACAGGGTAGGGGATATGGTTATGCTTAGTACCCGAAACATTAAGTCAACTAGGCTGATCCCTAAGTTTGACGCTAAGTATATTGGCCCCTTCCGCGTACTACAAGTCATGAACTCTCACGCATATAAACTGGAATTACCGTACGAACTGGAATCGATTCACAATGTCTTTCATACCAACTTACTACGCCCTGCCGCAGGTGTTCCTATGCCAGGCCAGACTAATCAACCACCACCCCCCGTTGCGGTCGATGACAGTGGATATGTGCTCTGGGCAATAGAAGAGATAGTAAACTCAAGGAGGAATAAGAACAAAGGATTTCAATACCTTGTTCGCCGGATATGCCACATTGCGAATAATGATATTGCTAGGATTCCACCCACGATGGACCCCACAGCTATGCCGGCGATCTTTTTTGTTTTGCTCGTTTCATCTGGTGGTGGGCTGCCTGGAGTTGGAGTTGGGGTATCCGTCTTTGAGGAGGGTTTTGATGAGCTCGTTGTTGATGTCGACGATCGTGACGAGGCCTTCGAAGATGAACTTGAGGCTGGATCTCCTAGCTCTTTCTTTCCAACCATATAAAGATCCGCAGTCTTAGCATCTTTTGGCTGTTTCTTGTATGTGCTGTCGATGGTTTTTGGAAGGGCTGATGGATCAGTAACGCAAGCCTTGTGCTGTCAGCAATGACTAGGACAAAATATTGTGTGACTTAGGTAGCATACATATTGGACAAACTTGGATGTATAAGTGATAGTGGCGCAGGTCAAACTTTTATCTTTGCTGTAAATAATGGGTCAGCATAGAACATATCTAGTCTATGGTGGTTCTGGCTTACCATAGTAGCATCAAGGGATCCACACCAGGATTGGTCCTTGAGTCACCGTCCTTACATCCAGTATAAAGATCGCATTTTGCATCTTTCTTGAGAGTGTCGCAGCAGCCTTGGACCTTCAAATCCGTATACAGCATACACGTTTTCTTATCATCTGCACATTGCCATGGATTATCTATGTGTATTTTCAGCAACAACTGACGGATCACCTTGGCAACATTGGCTCATGGCTTCATACCTTTCTCAGCATCACCAAATCCGCAGAAAGCAGGATTACCAACATCAAGATCACGTCGTCTTGCCAAATCTGGGGGTGTGGTTGGTTCAGCAATAGATGGAATCCTAGCCCGTGCCAGCTTGGTCGCTCTTGGTCCATCCCATGGCAAAGCCAGTGTATTGCAAGTCAAGCTGGAGAGGAGACAAAGGATGAGGAACAAATTGTGTCGCATTTTGTGCCTATCAAAGCTCCTTTTAGAGCTCTTGAACTCAGATGGGGGATGATGTTACAAAGGCTGAACAAGTGCAGAGGTAGTGGTGTTCACTGAGAAGATCTATCGGGTTAAACTTGCACAGAGGTTACTGTAATTAGCTTCATAGTGTATCTCGTTGTTCAAGCTAGAAACGAGTTTAGATAAAGCAGCGAATTGGTCTTACTACTTGTTATTTGAACTTGAAATTGAAATTGTCAGTTAACAAAACCCAAACATCACCCTTTAGCATATTGTGAAAAACAATTTCCTGCTAAAAATATTTCCCAAATATATACAACCATAAAGACCTTCTAATTTAAGACCCCCAATTTTACACCATAATAACATCCTGTTCCCCATCAACCAGTAAGAGATCACCTGGCTTCTCAGCCACATCAACAAGGCCCATCCCATCCATCTCTCTTAGAGTATACTCTACCAAGTAACTCTCATCAACTAGCTCCTCCATCCTTCTGTAATGTCTCTCGGTATAAACCTTCAAGGCATCTAAAACTTCCTTCATATTACCCCCCTTGACTTTTAGACCGCATAGTCGTGCTGCAGGATAGCTCTTTACCAAAGTCCAGAGAATTCTCTGTGCGACAGGTGCTGTTCGTGCATTGGTGTTCCAATCTCGAATTCTGAGGAGAAGAGTGAATATTTGAGAATCAGATAATGAGCGTAGAATCTCGTCAACTGCTTTGGAACCACATAAGCTCGATTGGTCAGGCGAGTTTGTGGACACGGTTGTAAACAGGGAAAGGAGGCGAGCGGGGTGGTTGAGCTGGAGAGCCAGAGTTATGGCTGAGCGATAGGAGCCGGAATGTATATAGTTCTGAAGTTCTTGTTCTTGCTCGACAAATTGAGTTGCGGCTGCTGTAGAGGCAGCCTGCGTTTCCGATGTCGTATCTTTCCAAAATGTAATGGTGGAATCCCCACTACCAGAGACAATCATATTTGTAGCTGGGTTGACTGTCAAGGCCCAGACACGATCCTCGTGATTGTCCAAGGTGCATGCAACTTCTCCGGTATTGGCATCCCATACTTTTACTAGACCGTCGCCTCCAGCACTCACAACATGGACGTGTTTCCGTCCCCTCTCCTCCGCTTTGGGGACATTTAACCAAGCTACCTTCAGAACACTGTTTGTATGACCCTCAAATGTTCGCAAACAACTATAATCGGAGAGACTCCATATTTTGACGGTCTTATCACCACTTCCAGTAAGTATGAGTCCTTTGCCAGCAGCTGGTCCACTGTCCCCGACAATATTTGGCGTACCCCTTGGTGCAAATCTAACCGACCACACACCACGTCTGTGGCCACGAAGGACTCCTTGTACTTCTCCCTCTTCAACTGACCAAATCTTCACGGTTTTATCCTGGGAAGCTGACGCAAATAATTGCGAAGTGTGATCGATATCAATGGCATTAATATCTTTGTCATGAGCTTTACGTGTATAGATCGCTCTTGGTGCTTTTTGACTTGGGATATCCCATCGCTTGATCGTTCGATCCCGAGAGCCAGTGAGAAGAAATGCAGGTGGGTGATCAAGAGGGGTCTTGAACGCTGCTGAGGACTCCACGGGCGGAGAGTGAGGAAGTCCAATAGCACCAAGAGATTCCGCATGCCCCGTGAACGTAGTGTGACAGGCGAATGAAGAATTTTCAGGATCAATTCTCCATAAACGTGCTGTGTTATCTTTCGCTCCAGTAGCTATCCAATGCCCAGACCAGTCGATATCAAGACAGATGACAATGTCCTCGTGTCCTGCTAACTGCGCGACATCTGCGCCGAAATAGGTTGAACCGTTGGGTTCATCGGACTGTGCGAGTGATACAATTCGAACCTCTTCAGAGTTGGTTGCTAGTGCTAGAAGCGAGCGATCAGAGAGAAGATATCCGAGATCGATTATTTCATCATGGGTACCAGATATCCGTCGTAACTCCTCCAAGCCCGAGATCATGTCAGTACTTCCGACATCCTCGAGTGATTTTGTTGAATGCAAAGTCATGGTATGATCCGAGTGTATCGACAGGATGAATCCCGCGTTTGATACCCAAAAGCCATCCACAATCGCTTCCGCCTCGGATTTTGGCGCTTGCGGATGAGTGATTTCTCGTCCATTACTAGACTGCCAGACTCGGATATTACCATTCACACCTCCCGCATAGACAAGTCTTCCACATTCGAGAAACCCAGCAGCTTCGACTTCCTCAAGGACCGGAACGACTTTTCTGACTTTCCACGTTTTCGCATCCCACCACATAATCGTCTTGTCTCTACTGCCCGTCAAGAGCGCGTTTTCCTCTACGGAATAATCCAAAGCACGAACATCAGATACGTGAGAATCTAGAACCGCGATAGAAGCCCGTTTAAACAAATCCCAAATTCTGACTTTTCCATCCTGACTGCCAGAAGCCAATCGAAAGCCTCTCACTGCCTCGTTTGGCTGCTCTCCATCACTATTCCTCTCTGCACTTTTGCGATTTCTAGCAGATATTCCTAATGGATCTTGCTTGTTGCCGGCAACAATTTCGAAGAAATGTAACGCAGATACAAGCACATTTGGGCCTCTAAATGTATGCGTAACATACCCCCCTTGTATGTCCCAGACCTTGACGACTCCATCCGCCCCGCCGGTGGCCAACAGGGTGCTTGTTTGGTCGACCGCAAGTACCACGACGGGCGTGGCATGGGCCTTCAAGGTCCGCAGTAACTGGTAGTTTATCTCAGATTTAGAGGCGGGGGAAGTTCTAAGAGAGTATATTCGCATGGAAAGGGACCTCGAGCAGATAATGAGGTGTGAGGCGGAAGGGGTTACTGATCGCAGGGAATTAGTGTTGGACTTCTCACAGGATCCAAGCGGCCGACTTACATGTGAGAGTTGAAATAACCTCGCCATCCTTTTTTCAGGTTAGCCGCAGGATAGGAACACATAGGTAAGAAATAAGTTGGGCATACTCCTTCAATCCGCGCCAGTTGGCGGCCGGTATTCAAATCTGTGAGCAGCGCATCTTCTCCCAAGGTCGTTGCGAGAATGCGCCCGGAGTGGTCGAGTGCGACGCTGCCACCAGTATAGATGGGTTGGATGGTGCGCTCGAGGTCAAAGGTTGTTTGATAGGGCGCTTTGGTGGCCATGGTCAATATGTTCTCAGGATAATCGATTAGCGGGCAATGTCATGGTGTTGTGGTGTTGTGGTGTTGTGTTGAGATTCCTGCGCCTGGTCTAGCTTTGCAGAGCTTCGCATACGCATGGAACTGGAAGAAAATAATTTTGGTCGCGACAGGACGCTACGACGCTACCCCACAGCCGTATTAGGTTTAGCGCTGGGATTCTGCCAATTAACACTTGTTACCGCCTTTATTGCAGGGGTATGGAGGTATGGACTCTACCTCGTCTCGACTACCTACGGAGTATAACGCTCCATTCTATTCCTCCCTATGGATGTACATACACGAATCAAGGTTCTCCAGCTGTTACTACGAATTCGAAAGGATCACAGCCTATAGCCCTAGACCCTAGCCCTAATTCTAAGGTCTACAGCTACCCGAAAGATGCTTATTTAGGCAGTGCGCCGCCGCATAATACCAGTTAGAGCTAAGCTAGTCATGGGTCGATCTGAATCTTTGACGGCCACGGCGTTGGTACGTTCTTTCACAAATCTCAACATGGCCTACATCTCAACTCTCGCTTGCGACATATATGTATATACACATATATACGTATACATGTGCAGTGTCAGAGTGATGTCGATGGCATCTCTACATTCTAATCATCGCGCAGGGCCGAGGACCGTATGAATCCGAAGTCGTGGAAAGCTCGTCGGGAGAGGCCTCATCCTCGTCGTCGTCGTCGTCGAACCCACGGCAGCTTTACAACGACCATGGCCGACCAAGAAATCCCGAGACGAAAAGGCGGGAGCGCGAGCACGTGCGCGCTGCCAATGAGGTGATGCAGGTCACGGGCGTCGTCGAGGACTCGATCGCTGCCCGCGTGCAGGCCACCGAGATTCTGTTCAAAAAGAACCGCGATACCTTGACCGGCATACGAGCCATGGAATGGGGAAGGGCCTTGATGGTCGGCGGCATCTGGGGCGTTCTCGGGCTACGTCGGAGGATCTTGGTGAGAACATACATACATACATATTTACACATATCGCTTTGAAGAAGAGATCTCGGACTAACCATATCAACTTAGCTTTACCGCTCTTCAGCTCACCTTGGACTGTTTCAATTTATCCGCCGTGACGTGACTCAGAATGGCCTGCTGTGGCTGCTAACAGCAGGCCTACCTGCCGTAGTCGCCTATCATGTTGCTGACTGGATTGAGTTCTTTGCGGAAACAATCCTCGATGCCATCTGGGAGGAGGAAGATGAGAATGGTGACGCTGTAGAGCTGTCACCTGGCCAAGCGAATCTGAAAGGCGGGCTAAAGCACGTGTAAGTTGGCTTTGGAAATACCATTTCTTTGTGTCCTTTGCAGTGGTCTTCTGGGCTTGCCTGGTAGAACGAACTCTTTTGGATTTCCCCCCTTAAGTTAGGCGAATTGGTTGACCGCTCGCTGACAACTACCGCAAAGGATAAATATTGGCCATGCCTATGTCACTTTGCATCTTCGCATGTTTGGTATTCTCCAACAGCTCAACCTCATCCCATACTCTCAAATCCTCCCAGCCCCCACATCATTCATCCCATTTTCCACTTATTCGCCACTTCGGATCGTGGCATTCTCTTGGCCAGCTTCTATTTTCGGCTGGAGAGGCGCCGTCGTTGCGTCCATGGCACCATTGCTTGCGACTCTGGTACACGGTAAACTGAAGTACATTGCAGCCCGTCTCACATATCAACACATCTACACTCTTCTACCACGTCCAACTGGAGATAGTATGTTTGCTGGTTTATCGATTGAGCCCTCGGCCGAATATGATACACCAGATCAACCCATTAGAGATAGATCAACATCCCAGGATGAACAAACACTACGGTCACTTGAAGGGTTGTCTTCAGTGGAACAGAGAGAGCCACGCTCGCGTCCTAACGACCGTGACTCGGACTCTGGTCACGACGAAGATGGGGAGATTCCGCATGCAACCTTGATTAGTTTCGACGTTGAAGCGGCAGAGGCAGTCGAGAGTCCACTCGGCACTCTCGGTACGTGGTCTGCAGAATTGCGAAGTGCTAACGAGCCAAGAGAATCGAATGATACCAAGTATCGCATAACCGGACTCACACTTTTGCCTGCGATCATGGCGACAGAAGGATTAAGAGAAATTGTTGCCGGAATCATTGTTATGCCCTTTGAAGCGTTCATGGTTAGAGTTCTTGGACATGCCATCAGGGCAAGTGCGGGCTCGAGTACGAAGGACATGTATCCTTCTTTGTTTACTTTTCCCCTTGGTCTTGGAATGACCGGCGCTGGGAATATCGCAGCAGTATTGATGCTTCAACTCAGTGTCACGGGTGTTGTTTGGGCGGGGTTTACGGTAGGAACCCAACGGTGGACGACGCGGAGAAATGCGGAATTGGAGGCAAAGGAAAGGGACGCCTAGAATGTTACGGACAGGTACTAACAAAAAACATACCCATAATTCTCTTGCTGGTTCACTACATTCCATTTGACTTCTCGGCTCAGGGACGAGCTTCAAACACGGAAGAGACGAAGAATTTCGAGTCCTACGTTTTACCAAGTTTACAGGATTTTCGGTTCATTGCTCAAGAATCGATCAATGCCAGTATTTTCCAGAAGCGCCATAGGAAGAGGAGATGGATTTTCTTACTCGTGAGGATCCTTGAGACGGCCAATCGTGACTCGACATATCATGATCTTTGTGGGTCCTTGGCAACGGGACCGCCCCACAAGCTTGTGTAGTGACCGCCATGGCGGAAGCTTGTGTTGATGTCTTCTATGGCTTGGCCCTCCTCGGCCTCTTGGGATCCCCCAACTTCCAGCTGGTATTGCTGTGACCAATCAATAGATTCCCCTAATCTAGTGTGTATTCTGCTTTTCGGTCGCTTTGTGGGTCACAAATGGAATCTTTCCCCGGGATCTCAACGGCTCTTTTAAATATGGACCCTACTCCGATTCTTCGCTCAAAAAAGTTGGAAAACGGGCCAGATCCAGTTTTGGGAACCACCAAACTCGCAGTAAATCCACTGAAAGCACCTGAATACGACCGAAGACAGGGAGGGGTATGTCTCCCCAATATCCCCACTTTCTCCAGCACGCTGCCTACTTTCCTCTTTCGCGGAGACCTGGAGACAGCTGGAGATGCGGATTTCCCACACAAAGATTGAGTGTTGCAGAAGGGTCCCCAGATTTGAGGAAACAAGCAGAATCTTTGTTAGATTAAATACCGATGCCTAGCTCCCTACTTCGTTACTTCGTATTTGTATTACCGCGACGTTTCTGTGTGCCTACCCTAGAATTGATCCACACAGCAACCAGGACAAACCTAAAGTCCCAAGAGACTGGTAATCGTCCCCAGGGGCTGATCATTGCCAAGGAGGAAATCCGTGAGGCTTTCGTGGTTATAAGTTCATCCTGATAGCCCGCCCTTTGGTTTCTTTTTTGTTTTCATTTCCCCTCTGTTTCTAAATCTCTGTTGTACTACCTGTCACTCGGTACTACGCAAGATAAGATGGCGGAATTAACTAAGTCAGATGTCGATGCTACCAGCTCAACAGAAAACAGGCATGTTGAAACAAGCTCTCCAGTCCCAACTTCAGCGCCCAAAAAAGTCACACTCGCCTCGGACAAGGAGGATGTTCCTGAAAAGGACATTGGGCACGTCAAACCCAACAGCCCTTCTCGAAACCCTTCCGTCTATAGCAATAGTGGGCGCAAAGCTTCTGAATGGGAGGCACTTCAGATGGTAGCAGCAGGGGATTATGATACCATCAACAGAGAAATCGACCAACTGGAAGCCAACTTACAGGCCATGAATATTCAGTCGACATGGTATAAACCACAACTCTGCCTCAAAGACCCCCGTCATTTCACATGGTTTCTTGTTGGTGAGTGGACAGTCTTTGCAATAGAAAAACTTCAGACCTTAATTGTTTTTAGGGTTTGCCTCCATGGGAGGTCTACTCAGTGGTGTTGACCAAAGTTTGATATCGGGTGCTAACCTTTTCATGCCTAACTGTAAGTCTTTCGTTCACATCTGAATCTAATCACCAAGTTCTGATTATTTTAGCCCTCGGCCTCAATCCTAAGCAAGTCAGCATGGTGAGTTCGGCGGTTCCACTTGGAGCTGTTGGCGGAGCTTTGATGCTCGGACCTCTAAATGAGGCGGTTGGAAGACGCATGGCAATCATCGTCTCTCTAGTTTTCTATACTATTGGCGCAGCTCTTTGTGCTGGCGCCATGGAATTCGGAATGATGGTCTCCGGTCGTCTCATCCTCGGACTGGGCGTGGGTCTCGAGGGAGGAACTGTTCCAGTTTGTAAGTTTTCAGTTTTCCTGGTAGCACTTTCAACTACCAATGGATGCGCTGAGAATTTGAACTAATGATTCGTCCAGACGTTGCCGAATCTGTTTCTCGAAAGTATCGTGGAAATCTCGTCTCCTTGTACCAATTCATGATCGCCCTGGGGGAAGTCCTTGGATATGTTATTGCTGCCATTTTCGTGAACGTCAAATCTGGCAGTTGGCGCTATATGCTCGGATCGTCGCTCATATTCTCGACCATTATGTTCGTCGGTATCATCTTTATGCCTGAATCTCCTCGATTCCTCATGCACAAAGGCCGTGTCACTGAGGCCTGGCATGTATGGAAGCAGATTCGTGGTACAGACGACGATGCGAAAACCGAGTTCTACATCATGAAGTGCTCGGTAGCCGAGGAGTTTGCTGCCAAGGAAAATGGTGTCAACAAGAGATTTCCTTGGATGGATTTCTTCACCGTTCCAAGAGCCAGAAGAGCTATCATTTACGCCAATGTTATGGTTTTCTTGGGCCAGTTCACGGGCATCAATGCCATTCAGTACTACATGGCAACTCTTATCAAGCAAGTTGGTTTCGATGATAAGCAGGCAGTTTTCATGTCTCTTGTTGGTGGTGGTGCCCTTCTAATTGGAACCATCCCAGCTGGTACGTCACGTTCTCGCTTATCTTCATGTTTCCAAACGCTAATGTTTGTAGTTTTCTACATGGAGAAGTTCGGTCGCCGTTTCTGGGCTTGCGCCATGTTGCCAGCTCTCTTCTTTGGTCTCGTCATTATCGGAGCTTCATACACTATACCTATCACCAACCAAGCAGCGTCGCAGGGAGTATACTTCGCGGGTCTCGTAATCTACGAGGGTTTCTTCGGCAGCTACGCTTGCTTGACTTGGGTTATCCCTAGTGAGGTTTACCCAACCTATCTTCGATCCTACGGGATGGAGACCAGTGATGTGACCCTGTTCTTGTGTTCCTTCTTGGTCACCTACTTCTTCACACAGATGCAGAACGCCATGTCACAAATCGGTCTCACATTGGGTTTCTACGGCGGAATTGCTGTTGTGTAAGTTTCCCCATTCCTCTCCTACTCGCAAATTCGCTAATCGCAATGTATAGCGGGTGGTTTTACCAAATCACCTTTATGCCCGAAACCAAGAACAAGACCCTCGAGGAAATCGATATCATTTTCAGTCAACCCACCAGTCAACTCGTTGCTGAGAATTTGAGAAGTGCAAAGGCTACCACCTTGGACTTCTTCTGCTTGAGATGGGGCAAGGTCTTCTCTCCGGTCTCGGAATCTGATGTTTTCAGAAAGGAGAACGGCCACAAGAATGATAGTGAGGGCGAGGCAAAGCATCAGGAGCTGATGCAGTAGTTGTTTATGAAGTGTTTCAAGGAGCGCTGTAATGGTGGGGCGGTGAAGTACGATCTATGGAGGATACCCGTTTCTGTTCTTCTCATGTTATTTAATGTCGCTCTATAATGATTGTACAATGCCTTTTATATGATATTGAGGCTGGGCATACTTGATCGGTGTGCTAATTCCCGAGGCTGGGTTTACTTGAGTGGTTGTTTTATACCGGTCTTGTCGGCTAAATCCGCCTGCTCTCATCTTCTCACTTCATCTTTTCTAGCCACCCCAGTCTTCCCGTTGGGGGTTGCTTTGGAAGTCCGTAGGTTAAACCAAGCAGAATGTCTAAGCTCTTGTGTCTACAATTCAATACAAACAGAGCTTGTGAGACACTTACGGCGCTAAAAGAGTGCAGCCTCTTACTGAGGATTGAGAGATTTGGGGTCGTTATGCTGAGTTGGTGCTCCAGAATTCCTCGACTGGGGACTTGTTTTGTCCAGTGTGAGGCAATATATTTTGTTTACTAATAATGGAATTGGCCAGTTCCGCAATCATCAACTAGAGACAGATCGGTCACTCACTCTATCGGTTGCCAAATATAAGCCTGAACTTTGTCTTATATGCTTTATTTCTCCTCAAGGCTTCTAATATGTCATCATTGAACATGTACGGATAACATATTCTGAGACGTTTTCAGGATGCCATTGTTTTTTTCAGTGGATTCAGCGCCTGTCTACACATAATCGATCAAGCCTTAATTTGACAAAATTAACCAGGCGGTCCAAGCCCAAGATTTGATTTTCTGCTCTAGATCTGGTCACTTTCCCCGGGATCTAATACATGATAGCTCATAATAAACATTTGTTTCTGTCTATGCTGCAATGCGATGTCGCTAACAAAATCCACATTTGATGGAATATTCCATCCTCGCAAGCAATCTGAATTCCACTAGTCTCCTCTAGTTCTCTCGACTTCCAATTGCCCTCTTTCTCCTCTCACTAAGCTTCGTCGCTTCCTCAAATCACCTTCCACCAACTCAGCTGACCTTGGACTTCTATGTCCCCTCCCTGCCTTTGGAAAGTTCTCCTCCAACCCCAATCTTTTCACCTCAAATCTACTCTTCTCCCGCCTCTCCCTCTTCTCTCTTATTCTCAATGTCCGATGTTTCTTTAACGATATCTTGAGCGGGGTAAAATACGTGTGCTTAAAGCGCTTCCACAGATTGTTGATCCCTCGTGCAAGGGTTGGAAGGTGGAAGATACGAAGAAGATTTTCTGCAATTATAATGAAGAACTCGACCGTGACCTGGTAGGCCTCTACGAAGGAGGAGCGGGCACGACTGTCGTTTGCGAAGAGGAAGGCGATAGCTATTACGCAGAAGGAAATGGGTACTTGATTGTGTTAGTACGAGCCAAGGAAGGATAATGGAGTGTGCGGGAATTACGTGTTGTTGATAGCATAAAGTTCATGGATATGTTTTGAGATTCTCCACTCCATTCCTGGATGTTCATTCCATATAAAGAGGTGAAGAATGATAAGGGAAGCTAGTCAAGTTAGACTCTTCTTCAGAGTATACAGAATCAAGGGTGGACCAACAAAGAAGACGGTAAACACTATAAGTAGAATTAGTAACTCTTCCATGATTCTAGACAATCTTCTTACCAGTAAATATTGTGACAGCTCTCGATTGCTCCCCAGCATCAATAGCCTCATAGAGAGCAATTTGATTTTGCTGTAAGGAAATAAGGTCATCATACTACTCACGATCAGCTTACTCGAATTCCTTTGCCATCTCTTTCGATCCTTCTTACCCCCTTGATAGTGACCTGTAAATTCTCCAACATTCTGGTAATCTGCTCATGCTGCCTATCGATCATATTCACAGCTTCGTCCAAATACCACACTCCATTCCCCTCGGTCAAATGAACCCTCTCACCATATTCCTTTTGCATTTTCCCGACATGCGTCTGTTGCTTGTCCAATATCTTCTTGATGATACTTAGTTCATCTTCGACATCACGAAGTTCGCGCAAGTCTCGAATATCCTGAAATATCTGTTGTACGTCCCTACTAGATCCACGGATCCTCCGACCACGCCCAAACTTCAAACGTGACCATGACCGTGCTTGACTTTCAGTCTGTGAAACGTCAGAAGAGTCTTTCACTATTCGTATCTGGGAAACTCGGGTCTTCTTGTACAAACCCTGAAACCAACGGTGATTAGTTCAAGCAAATGGGGCGTACTCACAAGTCTTTCAATGTATCTCCCAAAATGCGTCATGACGTGTGGCTCTTTAGTCTCAAATCTATCGAAAAGAACAGTAACGGCATGTTTTACAACAAGAGCCGCTAGGTCCCATTTGTCAGTGATCATCTCGGCTTTCGTTTCCAAATCCTTCAGTATTGCAGTCTGTATGTCCCCTTTGGATCTCAGTAACGGTGTAATACCAGGAGGGGCTTCGGATTTCAATGCAGAAGAATACATGATAGGACGTCCGCCAGGCTTGGGTTTGATATCAACCTCTTTAGGTGGGAAAAATGTGATGACAGTGTCTAAAAAATTAGAATTGGTCTTGCTCCTAGAGGTAAATGGAAGGGAATAGGTAACTAACCATCATCCATAACGAACATCCACAGTTGATCCACAACTAATACATTACCAGGAGTACCATCTTCTTCGTCAGACTCGTCATTCTCCCAGCCTCGAGGTTGAACATCATCATCCTCCTCTTCCTCGAGAAGAGAGGTAGAATACCCGGAATTCAACTGCCTCGACTTGTATAGAATTTGATCTCGGTCCCGGACTGACGTATCAGGTAGAGTCGTATACATATACTGGTCGAGTGACCTCCTACAATGAAGCTGTTTATCCTCACTCAGACACTGCCAAATCAATCTCAGTCCTGGGGACTCGCTCAAGTTCTCCTTCAACTTGCTGAACAGCTTGAAGTTAGCCAGCAGCGTACCCTCTGCTTTGCGGCGCTTTAGTCCTCCTTGCGCTGCAAACGTTCGCGATTCCTCCTCAGTGCTCTGTTGATCAGGCGTCGTTTCGAGTTTTATACAGTTATGAATAACCCTCTCTCTTCTCCGGAATTGCCTAAAAGGTTCCCAGTGTAGGTACGCTGGTTTGAAATGGTCAGATATCATGACCCGTCAATTCGCTGCAAGTTGCAGTACATATGACTCGAATACTTACGTATGTACATGACTTCTCTCACGCCACTGTATTTGCCCCTGTTTTTTGGATGGGGCGAAGGCTCTCTCCGAGAATCTTGTTTTGAGTCTGTCTTTATGGACGCCTGGCTGTTAGGTGTGCTGCCGAAAAATTCGCACATCGAATGCATGTATCGTGCATGTGGGAGGTTATGAGTAACAGAGTTTTGTCTTTTGAGCCAAAACTTGTCCTTTTTGATTCCCATTAATATTCAAAATAGTCTCCAGTTGGAGTTGAGTTTGCGTAAGATCTTACCTGAAGCATCTCTTCGCATTGTTTCTCCTGGTTTGTTGCTGCTGCAAATCCACGAATGATCTCCTAAGGAACCATAAATTAGCCAGCCGGAGGTGCTAGAGGGCATGAGAAAGGAAGAAACATACCTCAGCCCAACCAGTATGGGTACATGGGATATGAATCCATCTGCATCTGGGCTTGGAGCCTCCGAAATTCTCATTCTGTGGCGAATTTGATTCATTAGCAGTGGGGGAGATTTGCCCGGTTCTCGAAAAGGCTAGTTTTCGTGCAGTTGAATTAATCGGAGCGGCAGATTTCTCGTGTATTGGCAAACTGCTCCGCCTGCCAATAAAATTACCGTTTTCTGACATGACGGAAAACAGTCCTGCATTATGATAAGCTATAAAAATATTGGATCAGCTTTATAGAACACTTTGAGTCGAGCCAGTGCTCTCACAATCTTTTGGTTTTACCACACCGTCGCCAGTTTGTAACAAAACCGCTTTCGCATTGTCCACTTGCGAAACGGTCCTTTGATTTCTGGGCCGCTTTGATATTGCCAGGTTACTGACACTCTTATTACTTTGATAAGAAGTCGGCGACTCATTGACATGGTTCGGTTTCTTCAATACAGATCGGGGTATCTTGGTATCCTTGGAAGCTATTGGGACAAAATTTGGTTCGTACGTATTCGGAATGCTGATCGTATCATCTGGATAAAGAAACGTCTTCATTTCGCCTTCCAGAATTTCTGCAAAGGACATGTCATTTGATACGTGATATGGGTATTGCTTGTAAAAGCAATGACTTTGGGCCTTCAATTTCTGCGTAATGTCTCCAAAAGGCCAGAGTTCACCAAAGACACAGCCCTGTACTTCACTAACGAAGTCCGCTTTGCTCTTCGAGGCGTGAAGACTATCAAATTTCTCGTCTTTAGGATGCATGGTATCGAATGAAGCGGTTCCCCAATGATCACAAAGAAGCATAACATTCGTGCCCCTTTCTGAGATTCCAAATGTTGCTGATTCTGCTAGCACCACACAATTCTGCTGGTCGTCGACTTTTGCTTCTCTGGAAGTCCATCGGAAGCCGCCAGAAACTGTTTCATATAGCGACCAGACTTTGGTGTTCTTGAGTGCCGTTTCCAGAAGCGAAGAAAAGGCTTCAGACAACGATTCTAGATTGATGGCGGAACTCAGGTCTTCTATCAATGTCTCCGCTGGACGTGCTAGATAGAGTCGAGCTTTGATCTGCTTCCGTTGGCGATCGTCGTGTTCCCAGCGAGTATTTGGAATTTGAACTGCGGATTGATAGAAGTCCGGGTCAGAGAGGAACGTAGAACCGTGCTGCGGAACCGAAAAGAAACTGATTCCAATGCAAGACTGCACTATTCCGAGATACCTTTGATTCTGATGCGCGTTGACTAGAGCAGTCTTCACCACGAGGCCTCCGTTACCATGGCATAGTAAGATCAGAGGTGGTCTTAATTCTAATTTATGTGTTTTTTGCTGTAACAGACGAAGAAAACGATCTCCTAGCGCATCCAAGCCCTCATCGTCATTTGCTAGACCGTGATCGTAAAATCGGACGTATGCCGTTGGTATCTGGGCTAGCAAATCTTCTTCCACCCAAGAACCCCACGTTGCAACGGGGTCAGCCCCAACCGAGGAGACCAGAACCACACTATTCAAGTTAATCCCTCAAATAAATGGATATAAAAAACAAGGAGAAAGAGAAAGAAACCAATTTCACATACTCGACAGTCAGGTCGTCTTCGAAACAGGCTGTTCCCTTCCTCTCTCTTGCGAAATTACTAAAAAGAATTGGGCGGCGAGAGATACGGGACATGATATACGAGGAAAGGACGCGGCGCTAGAAATTGAAAATGTAATTGAAAGAGGCTCATAAATTGTGCGAGGGTTGTTGGAGTGGAAAGCAGAAGTAGAGGCCTTATGCAGCTGAAAATGAAAATTCACAGCTTACATAGGTTGATGTCAAGATGTTCTCTTAGATTTCCAGATGAGGATGCCTGATCGACCGGTGGGGGAGAGTCTGACTGGATCCGCTGGAGCTGATTGGCGGTGATTCGGGAAGGGGAACAATCCCCTTGTCGTTGAGGCGCAACTGACCACAGAGGCCTGCAGAGCCGACAGAACCATCATGTACAGATGTCACGTAGTCGAGTCGGCGACATAAAGGAGAAGCGACTGCCACCAATTCCCGATGCGATTTTCGTTTGTTGAACTTGGTACATGTAGAGCTACATGTATACTCATACTTTTGGGTCATTACCAAATACTGTAGAGTTACGAGGAGGCAAGTCCCGATGGAGAAGCGAGAGACAACATCGACCACAGAGGCGGGGCGGGGTACTGTAAAGTCGGGTCGCAAGCCAGTGCAGGTGTTGCTTCTTCTGTCTTAGTATTCTTACTGCACCAAACGACCACGGAAAGAAGTGGAAAAGTTGATGAAAGGTTTGCGCAGTCTGGAGACCGAGTATGATCGGTTAGACGCAGGGTGCAGTAGGTGCAGGTGCGTTTAGACGAGGCTTAGTCGCTCCTTCCCTCGCTTGCACCCTCATGGGAAGAATGTTGGAAAGGGCAGGAATGTTTACCGATAGGGAGGTACTCAGGTACCTATGGGTAGATGAGGCAGGTAGATGAGGCAGGTAGATGAGGCGGTTGGGGCCGGAGGTTTGGTTTATCGTGGCTGTGAGAAGGGAAGGCACAACTCTACCCACCTACAAAGTATTTGGGTATCAGAGTATTACCCCCATCCACCCCTTTTTGCACTCGCCCTGGCCCTCCATATACATGATTTTTCGTCCTCGAAAAAGGTCGTGGGGGACGGCCAGCACAACCAAGCTTGTGACAGACGGTGGACAGAAAGGCCACGGGTAAGCGGGACATATAAGACCCGAACGTCTGCGCTACTTAATCATGCTGCAGCTCTGCTGTGCAACTCAGCGCCGTTCCCATATGATTCTGATTCCTTTGAAGAACCCCAGGAGCGCATGTAAACATAGTATGTAATGAGGTAGGAGTAGAGATGGGATGTCGTTTGATCGTAGACTATATTAGACTTGCGGCTCGGGCCTTCTCTGGATCAACCGCAAGCGCAAATAGGTTAAACTTTTCATGCGGTTGATTCTTCTTCTCAAATACATACATACATTACATGTTTTCTGATGCGGAACTAGGTGCCTATAGCAGAGCGGAGTGACAATCACGCTCTTCGAATACTGTAGTTTATGATGTCTAGTTCTTGCCCGCATTGAGCTACTGCATCCAACTGCCACCAACCAGCTTTTCCATTACTCTGTGAACACAACAGGAGACGGTAAAACACCTGCAAGGCTTTGCAGAGCGACTACGGTTATCTACAAACAACTTCATGTCTGCGTAGATATCGTTGGGTTGTTGTGGTCGAGTAAATAATTCGAGGTTTGTCCGTGTGCAAACATTATCCATGCGAGCGGCACAGACAGGTTGGTTACATTCCTTAAGCTTTCTAGATCTTACCTAATATGATCTATAACCAACACCAACATCTAGTCATCATACTCGGGTAGTGGATGAGAAAAAGATTGAGCGCTTTTCTATAGAATTTGGGCACATTGAATGCGGGGACCATCGGCATTTTCCGTCGTCTTACAGAATGGGATGAAGACCCTAACAGTTCACAACGGCCCCGTGGAAGCGAAGTCTTGATTCCCGTCACAAAAAGGTACTGGTCGCTTTTAGTAAAAATGGCGTCAATATTCAGGTCTACTTGTAGTACAGTTTTGCTCCCCTCTGATATAGCGGAGGTTATCATTCAGGGTACAAAGATTTTGAATTACCATACCTTACAGTCTTAACTTCTCCTACCGGTGTATATCAATATGTAATAATTCATAGATTCTGCAGGTTTGGTTTCTTTTGCAATACTGATGTTTACTACAAGGATCGCGTACTTGTCGTGAACTGTGCTTGCCTCGATTAAGATATGGTGAGAGTGGATGCTGGCTGCTGGCGATATAGAGGTATTTGAGGAGCAAGAGATAGGGGGTAACAAGTAGGGGCGACAAGTAAGTCAAATAGGTGGAAATGACTAGACATAGCAGGGAATCATAGGGTGGGATATTAGGTAGGAAAGACTAAGTATTCATTTATAGGAATATTAGAAAATAACGAGGTACTTATAGGTAGTTTACAGAGGTCGAAGGTATGAAAGAGTCAAAAGAAGGGTAGGGAAAGGCTCTATAATACAGACAGATACTATTAGAACGCTTGGGTAGCTTAAAATCTTGTGGAACTCTTCTAAAAGTTAGTTGTAGGTACGGACCGATCTTTGTACTTAGGTAATAGGAGCCGATAATGTCGGCTCCTGAGTTCTCAGACAGAACGTGTATACGACAGTAGTAAATGGGTTGAGCACACGTATTCATAGATACCTACCTAAATATGCTCCCATAGGACGATTTTGATGTATTGTGGAGCTACGACCCAGTAGTCGCAAAAGGGGTTAATTGAGATGTTTTAGAATATTAACAGAAATTCAGCCTCATACGACTGAGCCGCTAAAGTAATTTGTCTTGTATTATTATTACTGTTAAGTTGATGATGCCGTACGCTGTACGAATTAATAATGTACAAGTGAATGCATAGTATAAAAGTATCTGCTTCTACACTTCATCCATGTGAGATTAACTGACAAGTTATCAAACAGCACAAATGAAAAGTAATTAAGTCTTTATACTTCAAGAATCTACAACATACGGAACGCGGAACGGACACTTCTATTAAAGTGAAAAAGTGAAAAGTGAAAAAGTGAAAAGTGAAAAAGTGAAAAAGTGAAAAACTAACTAAAAGAGCCTTAAATACGTGATTTTTTCGCACCTCTAAACTCTCACCTGTTTACTACGCGCAACCTACGATTTTAAGCCCTTAACCAACCTACTACTTGTCTACCTGCTACTCCTATTACTCGTACCGCCCCCCTGATCGCCACCCTATAGTGCCCTAATTATATATAGAGCAAAGGGATAGTAGTAGGTAGGCGGGCAGGTAGAAGGCAGGGGGCTAGGTAGTTAGAAGAAGTAAAGCTATCGTAGTATAGAGCTTAGGTAGGTAAAAATGTTACTAGAATGTGGCTTGAAACAACTAGGCTACGCAAATTCTAAATAAGAGTCGAGGAATTTAGCTATACTCTAAAGGAACTCCTCCCTTACTACCTTAGAATAGCCTTAACTTTCCCTCCCGCTTTTACTATTCCTTCTTCTTTCCTCCTTATACTCTTCTGTGCCCTTAGCCCCTGCTAATATACGCTTGCCTATTATATATACTTGAATAGGTACGAAGATAGGCTCGAATACATAGTTCTAGGAAACAAAGACTTCTTCTACTGTCCTTCGGAATAATAAAAGCGATTCCTACACTACTTAGTAGGAAAATAGAGAGTAGATTTTGACTTCAGTCGTTTTTTCGTTTCTTCACTTTTTCACTTTTTACTTTGATAGAAGTGTCCGTTCCGCGTTCCGTAACAACATCATCTCAATACCACACTTACCGCACGCAATCATGGAAACAGCTCCCCCTCGCCGCTATTTTCTCATCACTTGCCCACGAACAGCTTCTCACCTAATTAGAAAGATACTTAACCTCGAAGAGCAACCGGACGTTGCCCTACCACCTTTTCCATGGAGGATACTTTCTCTTACCCGGCTTCGTCAAAAGTGGTAAGATTGGCGCTCGCGAGTTACCAATATCAAAATGGAGCGAAGAGCAGAGAGCGGCAATGAAACAAGCCTACCAACAAGGCCTCAACCAATTTATGGACTACACAACCTCTGCACAAGCTTGCGGAAAGATTGCGTTCGTCAAACAGCATGCCAATATGTTTTTCGGTCCTCCTATCCACAGCAAAGTCATAATTCCCTCTCAAACCTCAGACGAGGATCCGTGGTTGCTCCAACGTCCGGATGGCTCACCATCTACTCGCTCTCCTCTCAATGAAACGTTGATTCCAGATGAGATATTGAGCACCTACTACTCCATCTTCGTCAACCGACACCCAGCTCTCATGTTTTCCTCCTTCGAGAGGAACGTAGCCGAGATCCCAGGAATGTTCGACGACGACACACAAGGTTCCGCAGCAAAGAACATAGCCAAAATCGCAGAGCGATGTGCAGCAATGACATTCAAATTCACCCTCTCAATGTACAAATACTACGCAGATCTGCACGGCAAACGACCACCTCATAATGGGGTCCACTGGCCTCTTATTATTGATGTAGATGATGTTATGAAGGAACCTGCACTTGTCACCAAACTCGCTAGCTTGATGGATATGGATGCTGCGAAGACGAAGTCCTCGTGGTCAAAAACTAGTGATGAGTAGGCGAGCAAGATATCGGGTCATATGAAGGTGATGTTGAGTACTCTCCTCGAATCATATGGCGTCAGAAAGGACAAGACGAGCGATGGAATTGATATTGATGTTGAGGCCAAGAAATGGTGCGAGGAGTTTGGTGAGGAGTCTGGTAAGGATATTGAAAAGAGGGCTCGTGATGCGATGCCTGATTATGAATTCTTGAAAAGTAAGCGGATGCTTCCAGTAACGAAGTAAGAACATTCGCCTTGACGGCTCGAAAGGGCATGGCTTCTTGGATATAACTTCCGATATGAACCTCACACTTTGAGTGAACTTTGTAAAGTTACAAAAAGGTTCATATCAATCACAAAAATTATCTCTCAATCCAGTAACCCAGTTTTGACTAGCGAAATTTAGCGTATTGATTCAGATCTCCTTTTGACGACCACCCCTTAGCTTTTTGATTAACCCGAAAATCATAGACCACACGGGTAACACAAATGAGACTCTCTAAAATGTCCATCCCTCGTGCATGAATTTTACTAATAAAATTTAAACTTGAGAACATGTATATCATGCTCCCAAATATATATCTCGGCTAGGTAATCACTAGACAACACACACCCTTCAACAAAAGATTACAGCCACATGATCATAAGAACAAATATCACAATTAAGAAAGACGTATGTCATAAATATTGGAAATGGCAGACAAGATACTAATATGTGATGTGAAAATAATGGTCAATGATGGCCCAACATTTGTTTCCAGCACAGCATTTCGCTTGGTCTGGGCCTTCCAGGCTAGCCAGCTTCAAACATGTGGGACAGCCTAGAGGGAAATGCACGGGTAAACCCGATTTGTATCATAGGAGCTTGGGAATAAGAAATATCATCCATTTAATATTGATGACTATCATCATCATAATGTTACTTTTTCGTGGCTTGCATATTCATTTCCATTTCATCCCCAGTTCCCCTGCCCCGCCCGAAGAAAAAAAACCAAAAGAATATGCCCTACACACATCTCCACGACACCCTTTTAACAAGGAGCATGAGTCTTCCCCTCCTTCCCCTGCAAACTATGCTTCTCATCCTTATAATGCTGCATCCCATGATTCTTCATCCCCTTGGCCGTATTCACAGCATGTTTCCAAATGAACAAATTATGCTTCTTGATATCCTCGCGATCCATGGCATCCAAGACACCAACACAGAGTTTGATATCCTCAAGCAATTGATCACATCTCGACTTACTGAAATCTTCGCGAACCACCACACGAAGCATCTTCAAGTTCTCGGTGTGAGGTGCCATGGTGTACGCCGGGACGACCCAGGAGCGCGAACGGAGTTGGTGTGCGAGTGCGAATTCGTCGTAGTGCTTCTTCTTGGTGGGGTCGAGACGGAAGGCTACGAGGGGGAGACCTTTTCCTTGGGTTTCAGACATGATGATGAAGCCCAGTTGGGAAAGGGAGGAGGAGAGGTAGTCGGCTGTTCGGGTGAGGTTGGTCATGATGGAGCGGTAACCCTTTTTGCCAAGGCGAATGAGTTGGTAGTATTGTCCAATGACCTGAGAAGCTCCCTATTTGAATAGGTTAGTATGAATTTGGAAAGAACGGGGGGAAAAGTGATGATGTACCTTGGAGAAGTTGAGAGTGAAAGAAGATTGATCAGCACCAAGGTAGTTGATGTTGAAGACAAGTTCTTTGGGAAGGTATTCTGGAGCTCTCCAAATGACCCAACCCACACCCGGATATACCAGACCATATCTACCTCATGATTAGCAACTGATTCTCTCAATGGATACCAGAGAACAAAACATACTTATGGCCAGAAGTGTTGATTGAAACCACCTTTTCCAGTCTGAAATCCCACTCCAACTCCGGAACAACAAAAGGAGCAACGAAACCACCACTAGCAGCATCGACATGAATGACTGTATCAATGTTCCTCTCAAGAAGCAAATCATTGACAGCCTTAACATCCTCATATTCTCCAGTGTATGTCGTTCCCAGAATAACACAAATACCAATCGTATTCTCATCCACCAACTCCACTGTCTCAACTGGGTCGATAACAAATCTTTCGGGTGTGCAATAAACATATTTCTCCTCGACTTCGAAGTATCTAGCAGCTTTCTCCCAACAGACCTGGACGGCAGAGGACATGACGATATTCGGGTTGTCGTATGGCTTGCCAGCTGCCTTACGCGCATTCTGCCATCGCTTCTTCATTGCCAGGACTCCCAGCATGATGGCCTCGCTTGAGCCAACACATGATGTACCTACCGAGGCAGAATCGTCATCGTGTACGGGGGCATTGAAAAGACGTCCGATCATGGATACGCAGCGGTTTTGGATGTCGGCGGATTGGGGATACTCTTCATAGTCGATGAAGTTTTTGGAGAAGGACTCGGTCTGTGTGATATTGTCAGTGGTTTGCACATGAGATAGAAATGAACTTCTCAGAAAAGCTGCCAAGTAAACGCACCATCAAGTCTTCAACTTCTTTTTCCTACAGAAAATTAGCTGTCGTGACTCTGACCAACCACCAACTCAACATACCATATAAGTCGTAACAAACGACGCCAAACTTCACCATCAGTCAGTACAACTCTCTCATTTTCCTCAAAAATCCGGGAAAAGATCAGTACTTAAGCATCGGGTTACCATCAAGAGAAAGATCATCCTTAATCATTCGATAGGCAACCTCCTTTGGCATCTCGCCTTCAGGCATCTCATGCTTCGGCAGATCCCTCGCGGCAAACTTGGAACCGTAGACACTTGTCGTGAACTGATCTTCCATCTGATTCTCTGCCATCTCCAACTTCTCCATTCCCTCGACGAGGGGTTTGTTAACCACATCATCGTTAGGAATAGTCGCGAGATGAACCATGATTGCGGTGTTATGATGGGCAGCGGGTTATTATTTCAGTTCGATATTTGAAGCTGCTCGTCCTTGCGAGTTTGAGAGTATGAGGAATGACAACGAGAGAGGGGAAGTGAGGAGAGGAGAGGGGAAGCTATCCGAAGACGTGAATAACGTTGCCTATGGAGGGGCTGTTATTCAAGCTACATCATGCAGCTGGAACACCTCAGCTCACCAGCGGGGTTAATGCAGGCATGCAGCAGTATTTGTACCAATCCCGCCGGGCCAGGATATAAGCTCTACTCCCGACGTATCAATCTTGGCAGAAAAGCTTAGCAGATCTCCATTGGAATCTTGTGGTGAAGGATTTGATTCGTTGCGTTACTTTGAACGTCTGCACTTTTGTCAACACGGGTGGTTCGGTTGAGCGTCAACATACGAGTACCAAACCTGACTACGTCATCGCCCCGTCGCCGGAGAAGCAAAAAAAGCTTCCCAGATCAATACATTTGCTTCAAGTGCATTGGACTTTTGAAGCATACATAATTGTATTAGCAAATGGCTATTTCAGGTTCCTTGCACGAAGTGGCAGAAATCCAAGTTTCAGAGTGGTGTATGCAGAAGTTCACTCCAATACCGGTACTGTACTCGAGTACACGACAGGTACAGTAACGTAATATTGGGCACAACATGAAGTTAACGCAGATGCAGTCATTAAAACAAACCTGCAGGTGGAAAGCGCATGGAGGAAGGTCACGAGATTGGGCGTGAGGTACTTGTGATACTGAGTGGAAATTTCTGTTTTGAAGGCATTCGCTTATAAACCTCGAGATTCGTAAAAAAGTATCCCAACGTCTATTCATTTTAGGTAGTACCAGAACCTATTATTACAAACGCCCGAAGCGAGTCCGCCCTCTTGTACAATGAACATCTATGCTCTAGAAGTAGTCCGAGAAGAGGAGAAACCAGCCCAAACGATGCATGCAAAAAATTCCGAAAGAAGAAATGCATCCCGTACCCATCCCATGTTCATCAAGGCCGTGCAAGCAGAAAAGCTCACCAGCCTTTAAAAACACGCCGTTGATGGTCTATATCCCTTTTTTGAACAAATCTATCGTCTATGCAGCAATCTCAACACCACCGACAGCACCCAGCGCCTTCTTCACATCACCATAGATGGCAAATTGACCAGCGGTCAAAGTACCAACCATGAAGAGACGGGCTGGGAGACCAGTGAAGGCACCCTTGACACCGAGCTCACCAGCGATCTTGATCAAACGGCTGGTGGTTCCCTCTCCTGGAAGACCCTTGGTCTTGTTGATCTTGCTCAACATGGTGTCGGCTGGCTGGGAGATAACAGCAGCTGCCAAACCAGCGATCAGACCGGAACCAAGGTTAATGGAGGTTTGGAGAGAGTTGGAGGCAGTGGATTTGTCGACGAAGGACTTGTAGATGAGCTCGGATACCTTCTCGTAGACGACGAACTTGGCCATGGTGTATGGAACCCTAGAGATGTGATTAGCCTCGGATCCATGAGTCGTAATGTCGCGGTGAAGCAAACTTACTGCTTGAACAGGATAGGACCGAAACCGGCGTAGAAAGCACCCACACCCTCGTTCTTCAACATCTTTCCGAATCCTCCAATGAGACCATTGGCGTATGTTGGGTCGGAAACGAGACGGATACGGGTAGCCTCGAGAGGGCACAAGGCAATATCGGCGAAGAACTCCGCGGTGGCAGCAGATGCCAAGTAGACTGCGGTTCTGTTCTTTTGGGCGGTCTCATATCCGAGGGTGTTGATGAACTGTTGCTTGAATAGCTCGTAACCTCCGAATTTGAAGGCACCTTGGAGGAAATAACCAGCAGCGGTTGGACCGAAACCGGTCAACAGCGCACCTGCACCCTCATTTGCAATCACCTGTCGGAAACCTCCCACCAACCCTTTGTTGTATGTAGCGGGATCAAGTTGTATTCTGGTCTTGACGCTGCGAGAATCCATGGTTAGCGGGGTATTTTTTATGCAGGCAATGGCAACGGCAAAGGCAATGGCAGAATGCGGCAGCAACGCATATTGCCAAGACGCATCGAGATACCTGTCTTCGAATTGCGCAAAAATGGCCAAGGGCAGAAAAAGTCAGAGGATGCAACTTACACATCGACGGGTGTGAGGGCTCCGTGGGTGATGGAACAGCAGAGGGCACCGGCGACGGCGAATCTGGAGTAGAGATCGATCCCAGAGAGCTTCTCTGGGGTGTTGGCGGCCACCTTTTGGACGACGGCGTCGACCTTCGTCGAGCCGGTTGCTGGTACTGATGGGGCCATCGTGGGATATGTGTATGAGGATGAGCGCAAAGGATGGAAGATTAGGTCGCAATAGGATGAGTGGAGTTGATCTGCAGTACAATGTCTCTACGACAATGCTGGTGCTGGTGCTTCAATGGATGGGAATGGTCTGCGGAAGGAGAGAGTCAGCGATGCTGGAAATCAAAATTTCTCTGGCGGGCAGGCGCTACGGCGCTACGGCACTACGGAAAGTTTCGGTTGGAAATCCCTCGCTCTGCTCTCGCACGGCCGACTTCTCGCGATGACTCCACGTGGCCAATGACAGGCCAGCGAGAGGTGGGTTGACCCGCTTCCATCTCGCCGACCTCCATCACGACTTGGATTTCATGGCCAAGGTTGGAATAGCAGAGATTTAGTTGCAATACATCTCATCATCAACTTCTCATAACTAGCCATAAGGTAAGAATACGTCACAAGCGTTGGAATCATAATCATAGATTCCTCATATCATTACTCCATACCAAAAGAAAATAGATACATGATACACGTACCTAGGTAGCAAGCTGCCAACCTTGGATAGATCGAACTACTTGGTAACTGTAGAGGTTTCCCGATTGGGATTGCCGTCTATTCACAAGACAACAATTGTACACATATCTATAACGCCATAGAGGTATTCAACAATGGAAACCCTGAATACGCTTCTTCCCACTGCAAGAGCATGTACGAGTAGTAACGATTCTAATATTAGCCGGCGGCTAATCAAAAAACAAAATACCGCGCCTCGACGCTGTGTGACTGGTTCCCTGATGCAACAGATAGGTACATTACTACAAATCTTACCCCTTTTCTCAGTATCCTTTCAGCAGAACTGCAGTTCCCAACCAAACCATCCACAATGCATAATGGATCCCCCCAATCTTGAATACTCCGAAGACTTCCACAGTGAGAGACCAGATTATCAGTATCTTTTCCATGAAGAGATAACCTTGGAAAGACATGCCCCAGTTCAAAGAAGGCAAGGGAGCCGATCGCGAGAGAGCCATTATTATCATTCTGTTCGTGAGTTATTGATCAGGCACCGAGCTGTAAGTACCTTGGTCAACAATGAGCCATAATCCACTGATTCAAAAAAGTCGGCAGTCACTACCGAGGAGAATATCTTGACAGCCGAAGACATCTACCCCGAACGTTTTAGGGATAGAGAGATTGATGAATTTGCAAGCCTTCGCTTTCTGTAGGTTCATCTGAAGAGGCCGTTGATCTCCGGCTGAATTTCGAAAAAGTATCTCCTCACCAAGAGTTGATACCCAAGAGCTTGGAATGAAAGCTCGCAGCAGGCCAGAAGCACCCTATCCATTCGATGAGCAAACCTTTTATAGATTCGTCAATATCCTCAATTTTCCCAAAGCCTCTTTTTCATATCGAGGATTTGGACGAGTATCGAAGATTTCTGGTCCTGAAAATATAACGTGTATGTCACAAATTACCAATGCTCTTCCTTGTATTAACTCGGCTAGCCATCTATCTTGAGAATTACAGCTACGAAAACGGATGGTACAAGATTTACATTGCTTACGATCCATGTTTGATGAGGACTTCCATTTTCCTTCACAACCTCGACTCTAGAGAAATCAATATTGTATACTCCAAGCTGCAAAACCCCTCAAATGCCATCCTAACAATACATCCTCTGTTTGTCGTTCTACTAACCTACGAGTTATTATTCCAAAATTGTCTCCGGAGTCTGGGTCGTCTCTTCATAGGCCAAATCACTCTAGAGCGCGATCTTGGGCTTGGGCCATTGACAGGTCAACACGAATATTACCAAAATCCAAACGTTGACAATAAAGCAGCCTCGGTTAGAGCATTCAGTGACGGGAAAGCGCTATGTGGCTTAGAGAAAATGGAATACAACGTGATGATGGGAAGAAAGCTACTCTCCTATTTCGAGGAGCTGGATATAATGACTCTAGAAGGGCCCAACAAAACCTCCTTCAAAAAGGCAGGAGCGATGATCAAAACCAAGCTGGAATATTTGGTTGAAAGCCTTGAGCTGCAATTTCCTCGTCTAAGACGAGCGAAAGCTAATAATCAACTAAATAGAACAGGAGTAATTTCCCATTTCCATCGAACTACCCCCCACCATCTCCTTCAACTCACCAATCCTCCAAACTAACACCCCAAAAGCCAGAATCCCGCCTAACAACCCAAACAAACACCCTCTCCTACCAAATCGCTTCTGAGACCAGGTCCGACTCTAGCGCCATGAAAGCCATCGCAGTCCTTACCATGATCTTCCTTCCTGGGACTTTCCTCGCTTCCTTCTTTGCCATGCCTCTATTCAACTGGGATTCGGAGACCCAAGCGGGCGTTGTGAATGGCAGATCTTGGATTTATTGGGCTGTTACTATTCCTGGGACGCTACTTGTTTTGGCCTGTTGGAGGGCTTGGTGGGTGTGGAGGGAGTGGGATTTTGCGAAAGAAGGACGAGGGAAGGGTGGAAAAGAGGGAGGAAAGGTATGGTGGAAGGTTGGGACTTGGTTTGCGGTTGAGAAGAAGAAGGAGGAAACCGAGGAAATGGAGGCTTGAGGATCCTGGTTGCTGGTGAGTGTGCTTTAAGTATATTCGTCATGAATTGCTAATTTATTTAACAACCCCTCTGAAACGGTCGTACTTATTCAAGAAGGTTCAATGTGGTTCAATTCAAATTATTTATGTATGGTAGCCTAGGGTGCCTAGATTCAGGAGTATTATCCCTTTTCCGTAAGTACGGCCCAATTGCCTTCCTACCTGCACTTCTAGCTCACAGTACCCTTAATATAGTATCTACTACTCAAAAGTCTTGTGCCTCTTTGGCAATCCAGGACCTAAAAGCTCCCTATCATCAGGTCCAAGGGGATCCTTTCTTTTTCTTGCGACATTCAAGTGCTTGTGGTGCTGCTTTTCCACTTCATTGCCTGCAGCCTTTTCTTGTTCACCATTCTCCTTTGATTTAATAATCATTCTTGAATTTTCACACTTTCCCTCTCCACTGCCCTTTGTTGCTTCTTTTGGTCCCTCTTGCACACTATTCGTCTCTGGTGTATTTGGTTCATTTTTCTTTCGGAGTCCCAAACGCCAGACAGTCAACAGCCTCTTGATTTCCATGAGCTTGGTTGAAAGTCCATCCCATGTTGCCAGCAGTTCTTCTTGTTCCTTCACAGTCCAATGGGCATAACCACTTTCTTCGTCTTTATACAAACGCTCTAGGACCTTTGCGTCAGTGATATCCATCGCTTGCTGTATCGTCCGCTCTTGCTCTAACAACTCATCCCAGGACAAGTCTTTGATGTCAAGAGGTGGTTCGTTCCGAACGGCCTTACGACTGGATCCTAGGGTTATTAGCCAAAGAAGCAACCAAACAAATCCAAAAGCTTAACTTACCACGAGCGATTGCATCCTCAATCAGTCGGGTGTTCACATGGCTTGGAGCTTTCCTTTTTGGATAGAACCCCTTCCCAAACCACAGCGAACACTTTGGATCCTTATTTCCAATCCCATAAACACAGCATCCACACGCGCCCTTCTCACATCCAGAAACCACAACACATATTGCGAAGGGACTCTGACCTCTCCTGCATTGTCGGCATCGATCATCACCTTCTTGAACCTCCCCAACAGCAGTTATAGCAAAAGCCTCCGCATTCCTCATAGCTTTCAAGTCCAAGCCACCCTTCCAATCCTCGCGAAGCACAACTGGTCTGCGTAATCGGTATCTCGATAGACGGCGGAGAGTATCTGATGGAGAATGGATGAGGTAGTTGCCCAAGTAAAGATAGTTTTCGGGTACTCGAAACTCCAGATCAGGGGTTTTGCTTGCGGATTTGTTCTTTGGCTCTGGGTTCAATGGTGAAGAGCGGAATTCAGTCGGGTATCTTGGGCGATGTGTTGGCTCTCTGAGATCTACTTTTGGCGCGTCAGGGAAAGGGAAACAGTGTTGGATGCCAGCGAGAGCCCACTTGTGAAGGCTGTGCTCCTGTTTTTGATGCTCTGTTGGCCATGGGACTCTGTCCCTCATGCTCAGGGTGGTTGGCATTATTATGGTGGAGGTGATAAGTTGAGGTAGTGGTGCGAAGCAAGCTCTGGAAGTTAAGTATTCAATCTGGCGGATGGTTGGCGCTAGTGAATTAAATCAACGGTGTATTCAATAACAATTATCTGACTTTCCGGTTATCCTTTTCTCTCTTCTGTCTTTCACTCTGAGTAAAGGTTGGTGATTAGCTAACACCTTTCTCGCTAAAAATAAGTTATTCTAAACAATTATATTAGTTGACTAGAACTCTAAATATACCAAATAATCTATCCTTCTTAACATTAGTCCAATATTTTGGTTTAACTTACAAGCAGGAGCAGTGAAGATATAAGGATTAAGAAGGAGTAATTTTACCTTTCTAGATAATAGTCTATCATTCTAATTTAACCTAGTATAGGAAATAACAAAGATATAAGGATAAGTAGCGATATAGTTTATATTTTTATATATAATTTTAAGAATATAATTCAACTTAGACTATCTAATTAGCTTATAATATTAGGGGTTCTTTATAAGTAAAGATAGGGAAATATTACTAAGAGAAGTAAATTTTAAGATTAAATATTTTATACTTTATTCTTTATACTATTTATAATACTATAAACCACTCGAATACTACTCTACTACTCGATTAGTTAAATCTGCTACTCAACTCAACTCAACTCAACTCAACTCAACTCAACTCAACTCAACTCAACTCAACTCAACTCAACTCAACTCAACTCAACTTAACCAGGTCTACTACTCATACTCAACTCTACTCAACTCTGAGTAACTCTAAGTAGTACTCGAGTTGTTGAGTAGTTTTTTACAACGCTGTTAGGCAGGAATTTGAGAGTGGTAAGTCTTACAGTTGGGATGCGTATAAGTGGGTATACAGCTACGTTCTTGATCTGAAGGAGGGTTTGGTATTACTAATGTGAGTGTGAGTTTGTACATAATCACACCTAACTTATTGTACTCAGTAAATTCTTCGGTACATAGTCTTGTTATTGAGATGATGATGGCCCGTGTTGAAACGTGCAAGTGGTTGCGTTGCCGAAAGATCATCCATTCATGATTATTATAATGTCTTACTCTATATCCATTGTTTTAACCGTGCTTGATTCAGGTACACTTCTAGTACTCTTACCGGTACCAGTACCACGGTCCTGTCCATCCTCCATTTCTTTCCCCTATGTACTCACCTTCCCCTTTGGCGATCAAAGCATCTGTCGTCGCATGGTGACCACCCATACAAATGTATCCACCAATTCTCTCGTATCTGACCCATTCGAATCCAGTGGGACAGACATTCATCCTGGCAATGTACTGTAATGCCCACTCTTCTTGTTCTGCTCTCTCTCTGGGTGAAAGGGAGTTCAACCTGGTTTGTCTAGCTGCCATAGTTCTGTCGTAATCCGTGTTGAGGAGCGACTTTCGCTCTACTTGTGGCTGTCGGTCAAGACTTGAATTCATGACGGAGACTTGTGGTGGTGGGTAATCGAGACCTGGAGGCATGACTAACTCATACCCCCCGGAAGGATTGCGTTCAAGGAGCCTGTTTTGATAGCGGTTTCTGTTTATAAACGGCCCATTGTCGAGACGGTAAGGTAGCATGGAGTTTTGCGCGGGATAATCATTAAGATTGCTTCTTGAGAGACTCGTAGGTGTATGGTCGATGCCAGAGGGTAACATGGAAGACTGGGGTTGCTGGACCACGGAAAGATTTTGTGAACGAATGAATCCTCGCCCGTGTCTAATGGGGCTCACCCTTTCCCAAGCGGCTTGCCATGCTTGTGGATTGTTGCGATCGTCCATTTTGGTAAGAAATTATTTTACAATCTTGTGGATGGTGAGAAAGTATTTCGGAATATCAATTCTTCTTATATAGATGTTGAGGCTTTCACATGTGAATGTAATCAAGTTACTTGAAGTAATTAGTCATGGACATATCCCTGTTTCTCTTATTGCATGGCTTTGTGAATTTCATCTAAGCGTAAATGACGTTAGTGGTGTGGAAACACTTGGGTAGGCAATATCCCACATATTTCAGATCACTTGCTCAGATTTACCTTGGCCTTTTCTGCTACTGGGCCCCTTCCAGGAAACAAATACAGCACGAGGTTGAAAGAACCCAATGTTGTTCAATAGATTTGGATCAATTATCTACAGAATGAGTTTAAACTCAACTGAGTACCTCGGGAGATAACTCCAATTTGTAAAGGGGCCTTCGAAGTTCCAGTCCCACTTTTAGTCGACCCCACCAAGTTTAGCAAGGAGGACTTGTGAGACGTCTTCGCTAGCGCTGACCCCTGACTCTCCATCATTTATGGATGTGATTCCGCCAATTTTGACTTAGCATTTGCCGATGCCCACAGTCACATAGTTGTTGTCGGTATCACGATTCTAGAAATTGTTTTCAAAATCAGTATTAATTTTACCTTGAAGAAGATAGAGGATTTATGAATGGCGCTAAGAACAAGCCAGCAGCCTCCTGTAGTTTTCATAGTAAGAGAGGGACCTAAAGGCTCTAGTGTAGTGAAATTGATCGAGAAGTTCCCTTACCAGTCTTCCAGTGCATGGTTCGTTAGCTACAGTTGTTCCGCATTTATTCAAGATTGCTTCAACATATTGTGCCATATACGAGCAGCGTGGATGAATTTCGTAGTCGTTCTGCTCAATAATCAGAAACAGATAGGACAAAAATGGCTAGGGCAGCTTACATCATTACACAATGAGATGGCACTGTAGTATGAGCATGAAATCCGGCTGCATTTTTTTGCACCAACCCAGCAGTCTCCACTACCAGCACGATGCGGTTCTTCTTGTGGGAGTGTAATATTAGTACAGTTAGACAGATGTTTGGGAGAGGATGGCTGGACCTACTGAGATACGCGATTCCGTCCCGGATGTTTGAATCAGTGGCGCATCCCAATTTACGTGAGGAACCATCAGCATCCTCGCACTCAGGCGTGAGTCCATGACCGAGAGCGTTACTAGAATCGCGAGAAGTGGTAATCGCAGCTGAAGGCAAGATCGATTTTTCACCAAGCTCTGGATGTGCCTTCAGAACCTGAGCGTAAACTTGCTATATGGTGTTACTATTAAAGTGATATTCTAGTTAAACTTAAGCTTATGGCACTGACCTGAATAGTACCATTCAATTGAACATCATATCCTCCAATGTTACCCACGAGCATAAGTTCAGAGATGGGGTAAGGCAATTCAAACCCCTCATCAGCTGCTGCTGGCATAGCAGGGGCAGCAATGATCTAAGGAAAGCTTTGTCAGAGAAAATTTACACAACGAGGGCGAAAAAGCGAATTACCAAGGCGGAAGTACCAATAAGGCATACAACGGTGGGAAAGAAGTTCAGGATTATTTGTGAGATGATTTTGTGGATTAGGGGACCTGTGGATTAGTATGGGGTTCAGGTTAGAAGAATCAGACTGTCGCAAAGCAAGTCAATTGATTATGAAAGGTTGATTGCTCAAGAATCAGTTATTCAAGAGAGTCTGTTGGAGCTTTATGGCGCTGTGGAGTTATGGAAACCAAATCTACCCCTCTTAAACAAGGCAAATTCATGGTTTACCTGATAATTTGGAAAACCAGTGTATGCCATCACTGGTGACGTGGTATTTTAGAAAGTGCCCAAATCTCCCAACCCACTAGAGCGTCCATACTAAGGTTTCAGCGGATTCAACAGGCTCGGGGACAATTTTGCAAGGGTATTATTGATGGCAAAATTTCTTGGCATGTACACTCTGACAGATGATGAGATAATATTCTAGCAGTGAATGATCATCTCGGGATCATCCTTTGGTTGGATTATTTATAAGCTTTCGCAAAACCTCCAATTTTAATTGGTTAACCAATAGTACTGTACTTAGTCATATAGTAGTGGGTTTCAGATTCTGTGACTCTGTAACACTTAAAGATGAGGTTCAAAAAGAAGGAATTGAGATTGTATTATCATTACTGTATAGACATAAAAAATGGCCGCAAATAGATGATTAGACAATTTCTTCCTACAGGAGTTACTCAACCTAATTTTTACGGTATCAAGACAGCTTAGGGGATATTCTATTGTAAAATTGTTGAGTCGACAACCAACAGTAGCTATCTGTGCTCTATAAAGGCTGCGTACGGACTTATTCATACGGACTTATTCACGATACATCTCCTCCTAGAAACCGCCATCTACCGCCATTTTGAAGGGTCAAAGCTGTACGTAGCAATCATATGATTATCTAAGGCGTGAATCCTGTATCATAATTGAAACTTTACACAATCAGGTTCTGAAACAAACTCAGACATTGTAATATTATGAGATAAAGTTTATTATAGCGTCAATTTACTTCCTAGTGTCTCCTAAAAAGTTCCAAAAAACTCTAAAATCCAATCCTTTCTACAAAAAGAACCATCAGAGGCCATATTAAGAGATTTTATTAGTCAGTAAAGTAATGAGTCAAGAACGCCCTAACTTGAACAAATTGCTAAGATATCACAGCAGAGTGCCTGACGTAGAAAGGGCTTGACGTGCCGGAAGAAGAGGGTGGTTTGTCCTTAGTATGATGGTTGGCATATACTGCAATTCTAGTTACAAACCAAGCACTATGATTGATGATGAAGACAAACAATAATTGCGCCGTTTTTTTATTGAAACCAATGGCGTGATTGTTAAGAGTGCGTCAGATAGTCAGGCAAACTAGATGGTGTCATAATCCCAGGTAGGTCAGTTAAGCGAGAAGATAGGGGTTGACCGACAAACAATTGTTATTTGTTGAGATAATTGGCATTTACTCATTTTCAGATTATCTACTAGCGAAATAATGGCTATAATTAACCACATTCGTTATTCTTCGGTCCGTTTGATCCTGTTGATAACTCAAAGAGTTCTTCCCTTCTATATTGCAACCTCCTCTCTTTTGGCATAGATACATAGTATAACAACCATGATTTGATGATATAAGTCAGAAGTTAGTTATAGAACCCTCATTCAAAGATCTTGCTCAATTAACATGATGATGAAGAACAGTTGCGTTCATAGATCATTCACGCAGACATTTTCGGGTTAATTTCTAATAAACAAAAACAGGGTGAATTCTAGAAAAGCCTCGCTGATATGTAAATGTGACCGAACATAGCATAGCCAGTCGCCGGTGTCCGCCGACCAAGATGGTGTGAGAAAGTCTATATAAGGAGCCTTTGGGTCCCTAAAGAATCTCGGAATTACACAACCCACACATACTAAACTTACTAAACTCCTCCACCTCATCCAAGGCACACCCTCATACACAGACTCCTCAATCTTCTTCAGAACTCAACCCCTTCAACAACCCAGCCTTATTCGAGAGCCAAACTCTCTCATACACAAACTCCTCGCTCTTTTCCAGGACTCAAACTCTTCTACAACCCTGCCTCACTCAAGAGCCAACCTACCCCATCCAAGCAACCTGAGTTCCCTCCCAATCAACCCAACAAACACCATCAACCTAAACGAACATCACAAAAAAATGGAACAAAAACCTCAAGTTGAACCAATGAGCTGGGAGACGGCAAATGGTGGCGGCCATTTTATGTTCTGTTGCAAATGCAAGACGCTCACTGGCCCGGTTGAACCGAAACCCAATACACTTTGCGTTCCCATGAACACACCGTGTGCACAATGCTCTCACGAGTTGTGCGAGAATTGCTTCCAAAACCTGATGTATCTTTTTTGTCATATGTGCAAGAAGGAAACTCAAATCGTTGATAACGATGAGGTCTGCGGCAACTGTGGGCACAACAAATGTGAGCATGCGTGATGCACCATCAAAGAGGAATGGAAAAAGCACACGGATGCTTAGGAGATATTTTGAAACATATGCACTGTATTCCGGGGGGTGGGGGGCGGGGGAATTTTCTCTTGAGACATGGAATTGATTGAGTTGGGGTTTGCATGAGGACAATCACATAATGTAATGTTTGGTGGGAGGTTTTTGGGTTGAGTTTTCACATATGATGGAGTGGTGGTTAATGAATTGGAGTTAATGCTGGATACCACCATTTGTTTTCGGTTTTCCTTAGGAGAAATTGATGCCCTTTCAACACAAACAACTCTCATGCTTGAAATCTTAATCTGTGATATCTGACCCTTCGTGTACTAAGAAACGTGAAAAATGACATTGCCAAACCTACGGGTCTTAGAGGTAACGAGAAAACATGCAGAACTGCTCAACGATTCTGTCACATCAGATAGAAGGAAGTGACGAAGAACTTTTCTTTATCTACCCTGCTCCTTGTTCTTTCTATAATAAACATTATACCATCACACAAAAAGTATCACCTTAAGGAAAGAAACCCCATTGTTGGGAAGGTATGATCAATATCATCGAATTTTCCTTAGTCCCAAAAGTTGAGGTGTTGCACCTAGGAATGGGAAAATTATTGGTTCGGTCAGAAACCATTGAGACCGCCTCTCGGTGCTTATGTGTCTTGAGAATGGTATATTTTAGTTGTATAGCTTTTTGTGCCTAGTAGAGATAACCAGTCAACAGCCTTGGGACCTTCTACACTCCATGCTGGAGAGTATTCCTTGAATTTGTTTCTCAAGATCCCCTTTTTGACCTTGTAGCTTCAGAGAGCGGGAGCCAAATGATGGCTCATCGTCACAAAGTCATTTCCAATTAACCTTCTGAGATCTTATCAACACACATCCCCTTAGGCTCAGCCAGTACTTCATGATAATCTCGAGATCACGTCATTGACCTAAAGTCTGTATCGTACCTCTGTGGAAGCTGACAGCAACACACCGATGGAGGAATCTCTAGGCAACAACGGACAATTGGGGGTATCATCTACATGGGATAGACGCTATTCACCTACTGCTCCGTAACCAATTCCCGTCCGCATGAACAATCGTCAAGACACGGAGTAGAATTGCGGCGAAAGAGCGATGATCTAACCGCATGCACTAAAGGAATTCGCGGCTGCCCATACGATCGCTATAAATATATTTTCTCTTTTCAAACGTTGAATGGTTTGATTTCAGTGTCGTGCGATCTCCACACGCAGTTTTGACTAAAGACCCTTTACTTAAGCGAACCCTGTAAAAAGGGGTATAAACCACGTGACGTCCCACGACTTGGTTCATATCTTCACTGCGATAACATTCGTAGTGTAGATACCTGTTAATACCAATTGAATCTCAACAAAGCGCCAGAACTAATTTACCCCTGTCATTTTGAGGGTTCGTTATCGTCATTCACAGCGCTTCCTGAGACCTGTAGAACTGTCAAATAAGTTGTTTCTGAGATTCCGCATATTCCTGGAGATGTACGAGTTTTCTGATGTCTTCTCCTCAGTACTTGTCTGTGAGGAATGTGATTGGACACTTAGAGTGGATTCTAGCAAGCGCCATCAATGTGTTAATATAGCATTACACACACCTTCCGCAGGCTTAAATAAACCTGAAGTTCTCTTGATTGTATACATTACTTATTACTACGTTTGTGCAAAAGCTTTAACCGTGAATCCTTCTAAATTACAAAAAAGAGACGAATTTGAAACAGAAGCTTCCTAATTACGAAAGTCACTCGCTAAGGGGAAAGGATCACAGAGGAGATGTCTTTTGGGTCATCTTTTTTGCTTCGCTTAAGAAGTATGCTATTGGATGCCACCTTTGGCACGCATCTGTTGTCACATGACTTCAATATAATCTCAGCACTTTGGAAACCGCCTTCACCAACTCAATGGTAATGTCAAATAAGTTGATCTGGAAAGCGCGGATTGAAAGATGTGGTAAACTCCTGATTCTCTCAATCCAGTCTTCTGCTTCACCTCGAAAGAGCAAGACCCCAAGAGTAATACAAGGGCACTCAAGATATACAAGATTAATATCAAACATCAGTCACAGAACAGAGCACCATGCAATCAGGAATCAAAAATTGGTTGTTAAGTTGTACAAAGAATTATATCCACATGAGAATCATTACTCATAATAAAAAGTCCGTTCTCTCACAACTCGATCATAACTTTCATGAAATATCCATTTAGCAAACGCCTGATGGAATGGTGAAGCTTTCAACTCTGTTGGCAGATCCGCTTCCTCGGCTTGCTGTAGATCCAACACCACGCTTGGCAAACGCAGTCCAGATTTCGCAGACGTTGGCACCACCAGTAAGGTTCTCATCAGCATCAATGATAGCATCACGAGCTGAGATGAAGGTTGGGTTGCAAGGTTGGCTGTGAGAATAGGTTAGCGTTGATATATCAAAGATGAAACAGGAAACTTACAGTGCCATAGCGTCAGCGACCAACTTCATGGTCAAGAATCGTCCGTCAGTTGGGATACCGTTTTGGAAGACAGGGAACTTGGTGCTAGTGATGCCGTGTTTGTCAATAAGGTTCCAGACCAACTCGAACAGAATGTTAGCCCAAAGTGTTCCAATGGCATGGACTTCGTTCAAGCTGTTGGTGCTCCTGTAAGTAAGGGGGTTGGTGGTCATGCTTGTTGAGAACAAGTATTGTCTAATACCATTTGGGTTGTTGTAAATCCAGTCTCCCAATGGCTTGTTCACGCTTCTGTTATCGCGAGTCGTAAGGTGGATTGCAATAGCATAGAAATCTCCCCATCCCTCTCCCATTCCACCGGCCTCGAGGACATTCAAGCAGTTGGAGTTTGCTGGACCACCTGTCAATCTGTTGGAAAGTCCGTGGGTATATTCGTGGATAATAACACCTGCATCAAAAGCGCAATCACGGTTTGGTGTGGTTTGAGTCCACATGAACATTCTCATTCTTGGCTTCTGTCCATCGACAGGAGTGGCAAAGTTGGCGTTGTTGGTACCTGAACCATCTTGAGCATTGAGGATAACCTCGTCGGCACCTCTTCCTCCTTGTCCGTTGATGTTGGTTTCAAAGTTACCGGCTCTCTCGTTGAACCCAAGCTTGTAAAGGAGATCGTGGTAGTTGTTTGCGGTGTAGAAGAGTTGGGTAACGGATGCATTGGAATATGTCTTGAAATCTCTTGGCGATGGGGTGAAATCGTAAAGGAAGTTTGCCCCAGTAGCAGTAGGACGGTAGTCGTTCAAGTAGTTATTGTCGCCTTCATAGTTTGCTTGGGCAATGGCATTGTTGCCTCGTGTAGTGGTATATGTGGTCGTTCCATCTCCTTGCCACGTGAATTCTGATGCTGTTGGGTCAGATGGGTTGGTCTCGATAGTACGGGGCCCCTTGTTAGGATCATTGGTTCCCCATGGGCTATAATAAGGTCAGAACTGATCTTCGAAGGATTAAGAAGCAAACTTACTAAACCTCGTAAGAGGCATCGGCAACGTAGTTGACAATGTTGTGGATCTTAGTAGCATCCTTGGCATCCACATATGAAAGAATCCAGTCATCGTAAACATCGGTCTCAACTCTCCAGACCAAAGAAAGGGTCTTCTTGTCAGGAGTTTGAATGTACTGCAGACGTGCTTTTGGAGCAGAGACGGTACCAGTAGATCCCTGGATTTCGTAATGCTCAAGTGGCTCCTCTGGTTTGGCAGTTGCGCCAGTTGCGGCGATGGATAGATCCAAAACAGTTGAGGCACCTTGTAAAGCAGCAACTGGGTCAATCTGGTTGTCACGTTTCACCAATGGGCTCTCAGCGGGACCTTCTCCAGCATAGAAAGAGTTTCCGAAGGAGAACACGGAACCGTCTTTGGCAATCTATAGCTCCTGTCAGATTCTTCTCGAGATCAAAATAAACAGAGTACATACGTTGACGTTGAAATCAGCATTATCGATATCAAGGCCGTGAACGGTCTGCTTGAAGTTGACATGGGCAATACCGTTGTCTCCAACGTAGTGGTCATCAGCAATTCGGAACTCGGAATTTGGAGCGATTTTCTTGACGAGTTCAGTAGCAGTCTCGAGATAATCTCCTCTTCTGGCAAGCTTGGCAATTGGGTGATCTTTAGTATCGGCCGTGTTGACGTACTCGGTAGCAGTGTCGAAACGGAAGTTGTTCAAGTCCACCGATCTTCTGCTGACACCATTGAGAGGTGGAATTGCGGAAGGGTGACCAAGAACCTGGCCTGCCAAAAAGGCGGCAGCGCTGGCAGTACTGACGACACGCATATTGATAAGATGGAATACAATGAAGGAGATCTGCAGTTGAGAGAGAACTGTGCGGACTGGAGAGAAAAGTGATATACTGCGGTCTAGGACGACCTTTATATTCTTCGAATAGCTCGGAGAAAACCCAACTTTGGATTGTCCAATTTGTCTACCACAACCGAGGCCTCTGAACGAGCCACTCAGAGTTTACGAACTTCCTCTTTTGATAGCAACTAAAGGAATGGATAGTGCTCGGTGAGGTGGGGAGGAATGAGAAGGGGGTCTACATGGGATGGAAATATAACGCACCAACGAGAGCTCTTTAGACTGTCAAAGGGGAAGGAACTGTAGGTTGAATCACCTCGCTTGCGCCCATGGCTGTTAATGTTCCGAAGTTCTAGACGAACAGGGACATGTGAGCTTTACCCCTACCAATGCACCACCCCTCTTACCAATGGTACCATCAGCTACACCAGAAGAAGGAAATGCGATGCCCCAAAAAGGAAAGAAGCTTGATAGTGAGCTCTCCAATCAAGAAAGTGCAGGAGACAGCAGGACATTACTTCGCCTTCTACAGTTTTTCGAGAAGCACAAAGAGGAGAATACGACTGGTTCATTATCGATGCTAATGCATCTCTCGGCCTCAGAGCAAGATTACTATGGATAGTATATGAGTGCCGAGCCGAGCGGATTGGTAGCCCACAATCAGATCTTATTTGCTCAGCAGTACAGCTTTACAAATGCTTGACATGAGCTTGACATGAGCTTGATATGAGCTTGATACCTTGCAGCTCAAAAGAGGGGCAACCTTAAACGGAGATCATGATAGGGTCGACCACGGTGCCGCCACTTCCATAGATCTCCAATCCTACGGTGCACGAGAGTTCCAATGGAAAGACTTGCGTTTAGAACAACCAGTCCCGTGCTTTCTCCGCTGATAATCCATCGGGCAAACTCTGGCGAGGCTGAGCTTTCAGATGCTCGGGGACACATTCAAAGGAGCGGTCAGAGCATCAGTATCTGGGAATATACCTATGGGAGCCAGAGCGGAGGTAGGCCGCCCGTACCGAGCAAGATGTGATTTGATCTTTGACTTGAAGTTATCATCAGGGTTCCTCAAAGCACGCAAGCCGGTGGGTTGGGCTGGGGGTGTTATCGTCGCGCTGTGCTGCGCTTAGGATTAACAGGGGAAAAGGGGGGAGGGGGAGTTGAGGATGGAGGGAGGGGCAAAATCCAAGCCACCCAGTGGCAGAGGCATCGGATTTCGCCAATCGGTGGTACTGCCGTATTTGCAACCCGGGAGAGATCAACGATGCGGCGTAGTTGAGTGTAGGATTCCGATTGTATTGCAAGGGCAATATCACCACCGATGCACCCATTCTGCAGTTTGCTGGTCGATGTTCCAGCATACGCCAAGACACCTGATTTCGAGGCTTGTCGAGAAAGGCAAGAGCCAAGACACCAGCCGGGCAATTATCACTTGGCAGCTGCTTATCAGGAGAAGAGGGGCCACCTGCATTCAGGCACAATTCGGATGCAGGATGCAGGACAATCTATGAAGCCGCTGGAAGCCGTTGTGAATAGTGTCAGGAGTATGACAGCCGGTATTGGAATACAGACAAACACCCTTGCCCGCTTGCGTTTCCCCTTCGTATTCAGATTGGCCTCCCCATGGGGCTCGCTAATCTTGCCGAAGTCCAGATGAGAAAGCAGCCATCACTTTCCGTTTTGGTGCCTTTTCTCTCTAGAAATGTACTAGTTAGCATGGAATCACTCGTATTGCTACAAGCGAGAGAACCGTATTCAGAAATGCAACCACTCTACTTCAAACTATCAAGTTCTATGACAAATCACAGCAATTTGACTCTTGTTGAGGGTTTATAGGTCGTTGAAAAGAGATGCTGGCCTAGAATACTGGGTAGCATCGCCTTTAAATCACTCTTTATCTAATATTGACAGTGGTCACCTTCCACATTAGATAGTTGACACAGCGACTACGATTACTAGACCCTTCCTCGGCTATTCTCTTGGCCGCTGAACCACGCTTGTTGCTATTGCCAAATTTCACTGAGAATGGGGATCAACGGCAATGGTTCAAAAAAGCTCCATTCATCTGATTGTTCTATTGTAAGGGTCTTAAAGAGACTATTCAGTCCCACAAGAACTTGAGAATACCTAGTCAGGAAACCCCAAGCAAAGGAAAAGACTTGCAATTTCCATCAGGTATCTTTTTCTGTAGTACACTTAAGAGACCTGCAGTACTACTTCTCCTCCGCGATACCTTCCAAACCATCGACTCGTGTGGGCAGAAAAGGCATGCAGCTAATGTGTGAGCCATAACAGAAAAAGGCGAAACACAAAAGACGCTTCAACGCCATGCGAAGATAAAATGAAACCAGAAACGGAGCTAGAAGTAGCAACCAATCGGATAACCAAGAGCGCAAAGTAACCAGCAACGCCAAATTCAGTTATGCCAAACAGGATTGGGCTCAGTGTAAAGAAAGAAAAAAGGCGCCACCATCTATCGTACATGCCGTTTTTCTTCTTCTAAAGACTGATATTGCCTACTGTAAGACCAAAAAGGCTCGATGACACAAGTAGTTACTTGTTCTCTTCCTTCGTGGGATCCTTCACCGTCATACCGTGAAGAATATCTGTTAGATTCTCGACGTGGCTTTGGGGCTGATTTTTTCCAGGGATTGTACGCGGGTCCAGGACATCGAAAGCTGCACTTGGAAAGAGTGGGTTTTTGACTGCAACGAACAGCGTTAACAAAGTACAAAATTAGAAAGTAAACAACAGGGTATACTCAAAGCCTACCAACAACAAGGTGATCAGCTTGCTCCCTCCGCACCTTCACTGCCAAAGCACGTCTCAAATCTTCCGTCATAAGGGCCTCTTGCTGGATTGCCAACTTCGCAATGGCCTCGCGAAAGTCTTTGAAACCGGCCGCAATGAGGACATTGACGAGGAGAATCAGGTTCCAATCGCTCACATTATAATGCAGATCCCCTCCGCCAAAGCGCTTCTTCTTCTTATAGAGGTCGCCAACTTTCTGTCGGGTGTTTGGGTCCTTCAGGGCTTCGTCAGCGGTCTTCAATACACTCTCAATTGACTCTTCTTTGGCATTATCTGCAACCAGAGAACCATCTTCGCTATCATCTTCTTCATCTTCGTCCTCATCTTTGTCCTCTTCCTCGTTATCCTCGGGGTCGCCATCCATGTCCATGGCCATATAGGCCTCCTCAGGATTGACCTGTACCCTAGTTATGCGCTCCTTCAAAGTTTTCGGTTGGCCTGTGGGGGTTTCATGATGTCCAGAGGCCCAGTGAACACTCTTGAGGACGATCTTCTTGGGTGGTGTGGGTTCCTATGGAGGAGGGTCAGATCGTGCGGATGTCTTCACGCAAGAATCGCAAGAAAAGAACCTACGTATTGGCTTTCGCCATCATCATCTGAGTTCGTGAATACCATATACACGTCCTCGTTTACGCTCGGGTGGTTGCTTGAGAAGGGTTGCGCCATTGTGCGCTGCGAGATTGGTGCGTGGTTGAGGGTTGTGGTGTGTTGAGAGATTTTGTGGAAGGATGCGGGTTCGAGAGCAAATATATTCGAGAACTGGTGGCTTGTGGCATAAGAGAATACGCAGCAGGTCTCAGAGCCAGTCAAAGAGGTCAGTTGCTCTCAGTCCGATCTTACACTTGCTTTGGAACATATTTGCAAGTGACGTCGGCTTGTTAAATCATAACCAATTCTCTGCACCTGGTAAAATTGCAACCGACGACAACTGTGAATAATCCTCTTAGAGCCTACAATACACTAAATCAGAGCATTTCACAGGTTCTTAGCTGTGTTGTACGTTGTATTCTGTGAAGTGTTGTTCTTTTGTTTACATTTTAAAATTAGCCGACGTGTAAGCCTAGTAATAGATGTATGCTACGCTCAGGAATAGTACAAGTGTAAATATATAGTGAATAATAAGTGTAAAGAATAAAGGCTGCTAGAATAGCTAGAAATACAAAAGTAGAATTCTAATATAATTATCCCTTACTCTATACCTTATATACTAATAGTTAGTAGAACGTCCTAATTAGTTTTAGCCTTAGTACTCCTACTAATTAAACTAGTAGGGTATAACTAACTAAACCTAATTAGAACGTTATACTAACTAGTAGTATACGAGGTGTAGAGTAAGAAATAGTTATAATTTTAATAACTAGAAACTTATAACTAGTCTTTTACTACTAAGGATTATTAAAAGTCTTTTATAAAGCTCTTCAATATTATTATTAGAATATTTTTTTATAAGAATAATCTTTATATTAATATTTTACTTATTTACTTTTACTACTTTATAAGAGGTTTACTATATTTCTAGGCTTAATAGTATAAAGTTATTTTACTATAAAGCTAGCTAAGCTTATAAGCTTACTTTCACTCTATATTTAATAGTTTCTTTATAAGTTTATTTAATAAACATTTACTATTTATTAATTTAGTTTTAATCCTTAATTATCTCTTTAACTAGTTAAAGTTATAAGCTTATCTTACTAGCTTTACTAGTAAGACTAAAACTTACCAATTAAATATTTATAAGTTATAGTAGATTCTATCTAACTTATAGTAATTAGTATTAAGTTCCTTTATAGTACTAACGTACTTCATAAGGAGTCCGGATTTATAAGCAGTCCGGATTTTTTACCCTACCATACAACTTTTAAAAACCATAGAACTTTAACCACTTAATATTTATTTATATAAACTATACTATCTTTCTTATTCTCGATCTGGGCACCTAGGAGCAGTATG